TGCTGCTCCTGCTCGGACCTGCTGCCAGGGAAAGTGCAACAGCTGCTTCGGATGCAGAGTCGCCCCAGTGTTGCTGCTGCTGCCGCTGCTTACAACGTAAGGAACAGCAGCAGCAGCAGCAGCAGCAGCAGCAGGGATCACTGTTGCTGCATCTCCTGCAGCAGGAAGTGGCTGTCGAGGCACGGGAAAACTGGGCTGCTGCTGCTGCTGCTGCTGTTGCTGTTGCTGCTGCCACAACTGATGCTGCAGCTGCAACTGTTGCTGCTGCCATTCATACTGCAGCTGCTGCTGCTGCTGCTGCCAGTGGTACTGCTGTTGTTGCTGCGGCGGCTGCGGTGCTGGCGACCTAATGAGGGGAGCCTGCAAGCTGCTGCTGCGACGATGGTGTAGCATTTCCTGTTGCAGCTGCAGCTCTTCGTGCTGCTGGTGCTGCTCTGAAGAAGGCAGCAGCACCGCTGCGCTGCTGCGCCTCAGTGTCACCCCACTTCTCATGGCTGCTGCTGCTGCTGCTCCTGCTGCTCCTGCTGCCGTTGCTGTTGCCGCTGCTGCCGCTGCGCAGGGATTATTATATGCCATGCTGCTGCCGCAAATATTGCTTCAGGTTGCTGCAGAGCTGCTGCTGCAGCGGTATCCGATGTGACGGCGACTGAGGCCAGCTGCTGGTCTGGACAAGGCTACCAACAGGAGCTGTTGCCGCTGCTGCTGCTGCTGTTGCTGCTGCAGCAACACGTGCTGCTGCAGAGCTTCAACGGCTTATTTAAGGAGGAAACAAATTAATAGACTTGTCAAAATGTAAGTGCCGCTGCTACAGCATCTATGTTGCTGCAGTTGCTGCTGTTGTGCCTCTAGGGAACAGCAGCAGCGTGCGGATCTGCTGCTGCTGCTGCTGCTGCTGCTGCATCCAGTGCCTGCAGCAGCTGCAACGCGGCAAGAGAAACAAAAAGTCCATTCCATACAAAACAAAGCCAAGTGCGAAATGTGTCTAGGAAGAAGGAAGCAGAAGCGGCGGAGATGAGCAGCAGCAGCTACTGCTGCTGCTGCTGCTGCTGCTGCGGGCTGCAGCAGGCGGCCGCCGCCCTGTCTGGAGAGGGTTCTTCCTGGGCGGTTTTGCCGCTTTCTTTTGATGAAATTTTCTGTATTTATAACAAAAATAATTATTTAATTTAATTTAAAATGAAAATAAATAATTGATTGAGCTAAAAATGAAATAAATTTGGGCTTCAGAGGCGGTCAGTCCGCCCAACGGGTTCTGTCGGTGGCCGCTGGGCGGCAGTGCGGCCGACAGACGAAATTTTCGGGATTTCTTTGATACAAAGAAATAAATTAACAATTAATAATATATTTAAATGATTCTAATTTTGTTTTCAATGAAAAACACAGACACAAAGGGCGGAAGATGTGAGACACGCCCCTGCCGCCGACTGCGGTATACAGCCACCAGGGCCCGTTGCCTTGGCTTATTTATATACGTTTATTTCTGCATCTTTAGCTGCATCAGTTCATTAAAATTAAATTAAC